AAAGTTTTCATATTTGACAGAGTGATAAGTCATAACTTGTAGATGACCCCTATGGATGTTCAGGTCACTAGGTCAAAGGTCAAGGTCACAGGTGCCTTAAATTTTGATTACTATTTATTACAAAGTCTTCATATTTCACATATTGATTGGTCGTAACTAGTAGATGACCTCTATTGATTTTGGGGTCACTAGGTCAAAGTTCAAGGTCACAGGGGCCTTGGATGGTAGTATGTTTTTAACTTATTATCTTGGTTACTTTTTAGCTCACCTGTCACAAAGTGACAGGGTGAGCTTTTGTGATCGCTTTTCGTCCGTCCGTCGTCCGTCCGTCCGTAAACTTTTACTTTAAATGACATCTCCTCTTAAACCACTAAGCCAATTTCATCCAAACTTCACTGGAATGTTCCTTTGGTGGTCACCTTTAAAAATTGTTCAAAGAATTTAATTCCATGCAGAACTCTGGTTGCCATGGCAACCGAAAGAAATTTTTTTAAATATCTTCTCTTAAAAAAGCCCAAGAGCTAGAGCTTAGATATTTGGCATGAAACATCTTCTAATGAGTGTCTACCAAGTTTGTTCAAATAAAAGCCCTGGGGTCAAAATTGGCCCCGCCCCAGGGGGTCTTTGATTTTCCCTATATGCATATAGTAAAAACTTAAAATATCTTCTTTTAAAGAACCCAAAGAGCTAGAGCTAAGATACTTAGCATGAAACATCTTCTAATGAGTGTCTACCAAGTTGTTCAAATAAAAGCCCAGGGGTCAAAATTGGCCCAGCCCCAGGGGGTCTTTGATTTTCCCTATATGCATTTAGTAAAAACTTAAAAAATTCTCTTTGAAAAAACCCAAACAGCTAGAGTTTAGATATTAAGCATGAAACATCTTCTAGTGAGTGTCTACCAAGTTTGTTCAAATAAAAGCCCTGGGGTCAAAATTGGCCCCGCCCCAGGGGGTCTTTGATTTTCCCAATATGCATATAGTAAAAAGTTAAAAAATCTTTTTTGAAAAAACCCAAACAGCTAGAGTTAAGATATTAAGCATGAAACATCTTATAGTGAGTGTCTACCAAGTTTGTTCAAATAAAAGCCCTGGGGTCAAAATTGGCCCCGCCCCAGGGGGTCTTTGATTTTCCCTATATGCATATAGTAAAAACTTAAAAAAAAATTCTTTGAAAAAACCCAAATAGCTACAGTTAAGATATTAAGCATGAAACATCTTCTAATGAGTGTCTACAAAGTTTGTTCAAATAAAAGCCCTGGGTTCAAAATTGGCCCCGCCCCAGGGGGTCATTGATTTTCCCTATATGCATATAGTAAAAACTTAAAAAATCTTCTTTTAAAGAACTCAAAGAGCTAGAGCTAAGATATTTAGCATGAAACATGTTCTAATTGGTGTCTACCAAGTTTGTTCAAATAAAAGCCCTGGGGTCAAAATTGGCCCCGCCCCGGGTGTCAATGATTTTCCTTCTATGTATATAGCAAAAACTTAAACAATCTTCTTTGAAAAACCCAAATAGCTGGAGTTTAGATATTAAGCATGAAACATCTTCTAGTGAGTGTCTACAAAGTTTTTTCAAATAAAAGCCCTGGAATAAAAATTGGCCCCGCCCCGGGTGTTATTGATTTTCTTTATATTTGTAAAAATCTTCTTTGAAAAATCCTAAATAGCTAGAGTCTAGATATTAAGCATGAAACATCTTCTAGTAATTGTCTAACAGGTTTGTTCAAATAAAGGCCCTGGGGTCAAAATTGGCCCCGCCCCAGGGGTGTCATTGGTTTTAACTATATGTGTATAGTAAAAACTTAAAAATCTTCTTTTAAAAAAACCCAATGAACTAGAGCTTAGATGTGTCTACCAAGTTTGTTCAAATAAAAGCCCTTGGGTAGTAAAAACTTAACATCTTGAAACATCTTCTAATGGGTGTCTTCCAAGTTTGTTTAAATGAAAGCTCTGGGGTTTAAACTGGCCCCGCTCCGGGTGCCTTTATACAGGTGAGCGACCTCAGGGCCATCATGGCCCTCTTGTTATCACAAAGTCTTCATATTTCACATATTGATTGGTCATAACTAATAGATGACCCCTATTGATTTAGGGGTCAAAGGTCAAGGTCACAGGGGCCATATATGTTTGAATGCTTACCTCTCACTATCTTGGTTACTATTTACCTCAACGTCTTCATATTTCACATATTGATGGGTCATAACTAGTAGATAACCCCTGTTTATTTTGGGGTCACCAGGTCGAAGGTCAAGGTCACAGGGTCCTATGATTTCAGTTCATGATCTTGAAAGCTTATTATCAGAAAGTCTTCATATTTCACATAGTGATTGGTCATGACTAGTAGATGACCTGTATTGCTTTTGGGATTACTAGTTTAAAGGTCAAGGTCACAGGGGCCTTAAATGTCAGAATGGTATCCGCTCATTATCTTGAAAGCTATTTATCACAAAGTCTTCATATTTCACATACTGATTGGTCATAACTATTAGATGACCCCTATTGATTTTGGGTCACTAGTTCAAAGGTCAAGGTCACAGGGCCCTTAAATGTCAGAATGGTTTCCGCTCATTATGTTTAAAACTATTTATTACAAAGTTTTCATATTTTTTCTTTTTTCATAACTTGTAAAGTACCAAATTCAAAACAACTTCATACAATGGTCAAGCACAATAAGGGAAGTGCAGTGCACAAGAACCATGACTCTGTCTAGAGTAATTTTAGAGTTATTGCGCTTTGCTACTTTTCAATTGCGTTTTTCTTGTCCAGAGCATAACTTGAAAACTACTAGTTGGAGTTCAATACAACTTAATACAATGGTCATGCACATTGAGAAGAAGTGCAGAACACAAGAACCATAACTCCATCTTTACTAATTACACTTGATACTTTTCCTTGTCCAGAGCATAACTTGATAAGTACTGGTTGGAATTCAAAAGAACTTCATACTATAGTCACGCACAATAAGAGGAGGTGCAGTGCACTAGAACCATAACTCTATCCAGAGTAATTATAGAGTTATTGCCCATTGGTACTTTTCCATTGCTTTTTCTTGTCCAGAGCATAACTTGAAAACTTTCAGTTAGAATTCAATACAACTTCATGCAAAGGTCAAACGCATTGAGAGAAAATGCAGTGCACAAGAACCATAACTCCATCTTGACTAATTACATAGTTATTACCCTTTGATACTTCTTTTTTGTCCGGAGCATTACTTCTAAAGTACTGAATTCAAAACAACTTCATACAATGGTAAAGCAGTGCACAAGAACCATAACTCTATTTAGAGTAAGAATAGAGTGATTGCCCTTTGTTAATTTTCCTTGTTGCAGAGCATAACAAGAATTATGGTGGTTGGAAGTCAATACAATTTCATACAATGGTCAAGTACATTGAGAGGAAACACAGTGCGCATTTAAAGAGTTTTTGCCCTTTGTTACTTTTTATTGTCCAGTGCATAACTTGAAAATTAATGGTTGGAATTCAATGAAACTTTATACAATGGTCAAGCTCAGTGAGATGAAGTGCAGTGCACAGAAACCATAACTCTATTTGGACTACTTACATAGTTATTGCCCTTTGTCATTTTTTTGTCAACTGTATAACTAGACTTGTCAAGTTGGAATTCAATACGACTTCATAAAATGGGAGGAAGTGCAGTGTACAATAACCATAACTCCATCTTCAGTATTTGTAGAGTTATTGCCCTTTGTTCCTTTTTCTTGTCTGGTGTGCATAACTGTAAAACTAATGTTAAGATTCAATGCAACTTCATACAATGGTCAAGCGCAATGAGAGGAAGTACATGTACAGTGCTCAAGAAGCATAACTCTTTCTGACCTTATTACAGAGTTATTCACTAAAACTTCATCAATGGTCAACCACAGTGAAAGGAAATGCAACATACAAGAACCACAACTATCTTTAATTGCCCACAGCCATAACTCTTTCAATTCTTTTACAAGGTATTCTGTTACTAGTAACTTCCTCATTTTAGAAGCAGTCTTGCAGGGGTATTAATTACATTTAGTGATAGTTCTCGGGGCCATAACACCATTTTTGGGGAAGGGGCCTCGGCCTTTTTCTTGGGGGGAAAATATGCGTGATTTTGGCATACTTTGGGAAAAGGGGTCTCAAATTGAACACAAACTTTTAACAAGTTCTTCAAAATAGAAAAGCAAAAAGCACTGGGAAATACTAATAAGATAGTAAAAGACCTTAATTCAACAGCATCATTTAATTTTGTTCTAAATTCTATGGGAAATTTAAAGACTGGGGAATTTTGAGGACCAAACTGGGGAAAAAAAGAGGCTAGTTTGTTGGTTGGGGAAGCAGCCTATATTCGGCCTATACAAAGGTTTTTTTGGCCCTGGTTCTAGTTTTATTTCCCTTAGTGTGGAATATATGTCTGCACATTTACTTATGTTATATATACAGTAAAATATGTATTAAGCGACCGTGCAATGGAAACACCAAAAATGGTTGCTTAATGAAACAGTCTTTTAAGGCAAAGCGTGATAAAAAAGTCAAAATTAGTATATTTGTGATGACTAAAGCAAGCATGTTTAGCACCATATTAAATGACAGATATAACACATCAAATGGTTTCCAGTGTACTAGCTATTTGATTTTATATATTGATTAGTCATTGATATTTGGCTTTCTATATATTGGTACAAAGTTATCCATCAATGACATCCCAAATTTTAATAGAAAAAAACTAATTATAATATTGAAAGAGATTATATTAAGTTGTTGGTTCAGGTGTTAGGCTTTTTACTCCAGGATACAAGGTTGCCCTTCTGAGGTTCCAGAAATGTTTTTTTTGTATTACACTATGCTAAATATCGAAGGCTGATAGGAAGAGACGTGCAAATGAGCCCAAATCTTACTGTAGTTTTGTTACCTTGCTATTAAATCCACCATTCATCTGTACATCTTCAGTGAGTAATATTCAATGTTTACAGTAGTCAGTTTTCATTGAAATTAAAAATGTATTTATAGGTAACAGGGGATTTTCTATCGGTATTGGAGATGTCACACCAGGTTATGGTCTGATTAAAGCCAAGAACCAGTTGCTGGATGATGGGTAATGTATTTTATACTGTATCAAAATATAATTATATATCATAAATTCCTACACGGTCATACCATCATTAAGCCAAAGTTTTAGAAAATGGTTAGAAACTTTTTACTGTTAAATCAAGCTTTTTTGAGGCTAATTGTTTAGATGAATTTTAAATTACCAGCTTTTCACTTTAAGTAAGGATTTCAAAGATATCCTTTTGAACCCTACCTTTATTCTAATGTTTACCTGTGCTTTAATGAAAAAAAAATGAATTTAAACAAAGGGAAAAGGAAAAAATGTTAAAAATAAGTTGAAATTATCATTCAAACAAATTATTAGACTTTCTTGTTAAGAAGATATTATCAGTGTAGAAATACCATGTGACCTTGACAAAAAAAAAAAAAAAAAAAAAAAAAAACTAGTTCAATAATACCTTTTACTGTATGTTTTAATACATCTCTGCCTAATATTGGTGAAATCTTAAATAAATATTGGGATCTATTACTTTTGTCTGATAAGGTAAGCGTTAAAAATATACATACCAAGTTCAAACCTATTTTAGCATATAGACGTCCTAAAAACATTCGAGATTATCTTATGAGAAGTGCACATTTTTATCTAGCCAATGTTTACGAAGTAGATGTTCACATTGTAACAATATAATTGTTGGTTCCCAATTTAATAGCAGCATAACAGGTAGTTCTTTTGATTTACACAATGATGTTAATTGTACTACGCGTAATGTAATTTACCTCATTACATGTAAAGGCTGTAAAAAGCAATACGTAGGTCAGCCTAATCAAAATGTATCATGCAGAATGAATAAACATAGATTTGATATAAGAAATTGTGACGTTAATCCAGTTTCACATGTTGCGATCCATTTCGGATCAAACGATAATAAGTGTTCATTGTCAGATTTTTCATTTTTACCTATAGAAATTATAGACAACAACATGGACCGGTTATGTAAAGAATCTTTTTGGATCCATAAATTAAATACTATGATTCCAAATGGACTAAATAATAAAGTATTGTTTGATTTATAATAGGTTACATGAATATTAATATGTTTGTCTATTATCTTATTAGCTCGACTATTCCATAAGAATAAGTAGAGCTATTGCAGTCACCCGAGCGTCGGCGTCGGCGTAACCACTTATGTTAAAGTTTTTGTAATAGTTCAAATATTTTCAAAGTCCATAGACATATGGCTTTGAAACTTTGCACACTTGTTCACCATCATGACCCCAACCTGTAGACAGGAGGAGGTAACTCTATCAAGCATTTTGACAGAATTATGCCCCTTTTTCGACTTAGAATTTACGTTAAAGTTTTTGTAATAGTTCAAATATTTTCAAAGTCCATTGACATATGGCTTTAAAACTTTGCACACTTGTTCACCATCATGACCCCAACCTGTAGACAAGAGGAGGTAACTGTATCAAGCATTTTGACAGAATTATGCCCCTTTTTCGACTTAGAATTTACGTTAAAGTTTTTGTAATAGTTCAAATATTTTCAAAGTCCATTGACATATGGCTTTGAAACTTTGCACACTTGTTCACCATCATGACCCCAACCTGTAAACAGGAGGAGGTAACTGTATCAAGCATTTTATTTACTATCAAGCACTAAGAATAGTCGAGCGTTGCTGTCCTACCGACAGCTCTTGTTTTTATTAACACTGTCTAATAGACATCTGTATCACTGTTGATCCATTTTAATTCATGTACCAGCTTTATTTATAGCATAAATATTTGTTTCTACATGTTATCATAATTTTGCCGCTAAACGCCATAACGTTTTTCGCGCGTTTAACGCGTGTTCCGTTATGACGTTGCTTCCGGTAATTTTATTATGTTTTGCACTGATGAAGGCATATAGCCCAAACGTTTGCAATTAAATTAAATTACTAAATGTTCGTGTTTGTGTGGCTTGTCTGATTATGTGACCTTGACGTCATTTTTGGCATCATTTCCAAGACAAATATTTCTCGATTCAAGAAAGAAAATAGCAGTAAGTATTTTATTAGCTCGACTATTCGATAAGAATAAGTAGAGCTATTGTAGTCACCCGAGCGTCGGCGTCGGCGTCTGCGTCTGCATCGGCGTAACCACTTATGTTAAAGTTTTTGTAATAGTTCAAATATTTTCAAAGTCCATTGACATATGGCTTTGAAACTTTGCACACTTGTTCACCATCATGACCCCAACCTGTAGACAGGAGGAGGTAACTCTATCAAGCATTTTGACAGAACTATGCCCCTTTTTCGACTTAGAATTTACGTTAAAGTTTTTGTAATAGTTCAAATATTTTCAAAGTCCATTGACATATGGCTTTGAAACTTTGCACACTTGTTCATCATCATGACCCCAACCTGTAGACAGGAGGAGGTAACTCTACTAAGCATTTTGACAAAATCATGCCCCTTTTTCGACTTAGAATTTACGTTTAAGTTTTTGTAATAGTTCAAATATTTTCAAAGTCCATAGACATATGGCTTTGAAACTTTGCACACTTGTTCACCATCATGACCCCAACCTGTAAACAGGAGGAGGTAACTGTATCAAGCATTTTGTTTTACTATCAAGCACTAAAAATAGTCGAGCGTTGCTGTCCTACCGACAGCTCTTGTTCCTTTACCAATTTCTTTGGGATGTCTACGGGGGAAAATATAAGCTTGCCACAGAATATTGGATTCCATCAGTGTATTATCAAACATTTTGGATAACCTTGGAAGTTGTTTGTATAGGAGCAGACTTCAGTTGCAAGCTATTTCGTTTTATTGCATTATCTGATCAACAGCATGATTAAAAAGTCAAGAGTACATAAACCTGGAGTAGGAAAGGCAAAATCCTACTTAAATATGTTTATATTTTTATGCCAACGCAGCATCTGCACTGTGTTGGCATATAGCAATTCACCTGTGTGTGTGTGTTTGTGTGTATGTATGTTATAATGTATGTGTGTTATATAGATAATATAGTGAACTTCAGAATCTTCTTGTGACAAAACACAGAGCAAAACACAAGTCCAATTTCAACCAAACTTGGCAGGATTGATCTTTGGGTGAAGGGCTACCAAAGTTGTTCAAAGAACTTAATTCCATTTATAAATCTGGTTGCCATGGCAACCAAAAGGAATTATTAGAATAAATTAAAAAAATCTACCTGTAAAGACCCACATGGCCTAGAGCATAGATATTTTGCAATCTCTACCAAGATTGTTCTAATTATAGCCCTAAAATTCAGTTTCAGCTCAATAACTTGAGTTTGCTTTGGCCTATTGACACCAAAATTGGTGTATAGATAGCTTATATCGAGAGGCAGCTTGGCTAAAATTCCTAAAAAAGTGAAAAATTCAAAGGGAATTCCTAAAATGCCCTTTTTTTTCACTGAAATTCCTAATTTTTTTATCTTTTGTTATAAACATACTTATAACTTGTAACCCTGATCACAAACATAACAAAGTCGACCATGTTTTGAACATGGTCAAAAATGATTTGCCATCTCAAAATTGGTGACATTGAAATGGTTTCGTTTCAACTAAAAGTTACTTTGACTGTCTGTAACATTGCTATCATGTAATCAAAGCAGTTGTTGATAATCATGTTGACAGTTAACAGCAAAAACATTACCATATCATGGTCCTGGAACTTAAAAAATAACCATAAGAGGTTCACTTTTTCTGGAATATTTTGACACTGTTTTGCCAACCTCAGATATCTTGAATTTTATGTTTGTTCTTTTTTCCCAAATGGCTGAACTGGTCCATTTATATCATATCATATTTGAAAATGATCATTATGAAGCTGTTATATAAATAAATAAATATAAAGCTCATTTCCAGTTATCATTTTCACACATTTTGCAATTATATGATCTAGATAAACTGCAATTGAATGGTCTGTGTGATGAACTTTTTTGATGTGCAATTCTGTGTGTTGATTATAGATGCTTCCCATAAATTTTGTTCAAATGACTGTACTAAGACTAATGCCTTTTTACTTCCTACTTGTACAAAAAATTTCATTTGTCCATATTCAAAAGCTGCATTGTGCATTAATTTCACTTTATAAGAATTCCTTTTAGAGTCTCGTGGTTATTACACTCCCAAAACATAGGTAGAACATGTTCTTTTGACATGTTCAACTATTGAAAAAACATATTTCAAATATGGTTTGAACATGGTTTGACTATGACCATTTCCACAGGGGAGGCAGTTGACCAGTGAGTCCACACTGGTAGACACCTTTGCTCTAACTAAACTAGAGAATTATTTGTGAGTTACTTTTGTATCAAATTTGCAAAGGTTAGCCCACATCATGGTCTTTTTGGGCCTTAGTTTAGTTATAAAATTTCAAATTTTAGCCCTAAAATTTTTTATTATGTACCATAAAATTCCTAATTTTAGCCCTAAAATTTCTAAAATATTGCCCTAAAATTTGCCCTAATTTTATGTCAGAAAGTGCTACTGGTCGGGGACCATCAACCGGACACTTTTTGAACATTTTTCCGTACAGATTTCATAATTTTTAACCTAGAGACCTTAAAATTTGACACAGTTTAGCTAGGTTCTTCTCCTAACTAACAAACTAGTTTGTTTATTTCTGATTGTACTGACACTTATATCTGAGGCTTGACAAGGAGGGTATCAAAATTACCTAGATTGTCTACACTACAGTACCATGTGTCCGGACAGATATGTACATCACATGATTTAATTCAGGTAAAGGCTTGGGTGTTTTGATTTTAGATTTTTATCATGATATACAATATTTCAGCAACAAATGCTTAAGTTTTGGATATTCTATTGTTTACTCTGCAAATGATTATAGCTGATATATGAGGTCAGGCAATGCTTTCTTGACCCCCCAAATGACAACGTCAACATTCTAGAAAAAGGCATTAAAATATTACCATTTACGGAGGTTGAAATAAATTAATTTACTTAATTTTAGTAGAAACATGCATTTATTGTTGATGAAAAAGTGACTGAAAACCACTGAACATCGAAAATACTAAATTAAGCATTTTCGGGGCCGTCCGGGTTTGGTAGTTGTCCGGTTTTGGTGGTCCCCAACCAGTAGACAGCCTGAATTTACAATTGAAGAAATTGGCAAAATTTACGCCATGAATAATAAAAATATGAACATAATTATTTAGGTAACATTTTGCCTTCAGTACTCCTGTTTGATGTAATCCTGACATTTTAATCATGACGTAGATCAGATAATACAATAAAACGAAATTGCTTGCAACTGAAGCCCCCCGCTCTAATACAATCAACTTCCAAGATTATACAAAGTGTTTGATAAAATGGCTCAGATACTGAAGGAGATCCAATATTCTGTGGCAAGCTTATATTTTTCCCCATACACTGGTTACTTCCCAAAGAAATTGGTACAGAAATAAAATACTTATGGCTTTTTTCTTTTCCGAAACAAGCAATATTTGTCTTGGAAATGATGCCGAAAATGACGTCAAGGTCACATGGTATTGCTACACTGATTATGCAAGTTTAAGGTTAGTGATTGTATTTAATTATGCCCTTGTTTTGTCTTTCATAATACACATGGAGCACAGAAAATTTTTCAAAGTATTATGTATTGTTTTTGCCTTAGCCGTCTGTCCGTCCTTACAAACATATAGATACTTAGATGGCTATGGGAACTATAGGTAACAGTAAATTTCCTTTGATACTATTCATTCAGTAAGCTCTTATATATGGCTTCTTTTTAGCTCACCTGTCACAAAGTGACAGGGTGAGCTTTTGTGATCGCTTTTCGACCGGCGTCCGTCCGTAAACTTTTACTTTAAATGACATCTCCTCATAAACCATTAAGCCAATTTCATCCAAACTTCACAGGAATGATCCTTTGGTGGTCACCTTTAAAAATTGTTCGAAGAATTTTATTCCATGCAGAACTCTGGTTGCCATGGCAACCGAAAGAAAAAACTTGAAATATCTTCTTTTAAAAAACCCTAAGAGCTAGAGCTTAGATATTTGGCATGAAACATTTTCTAATGAGTGTCTACCAAGTTTGTTCAAATAAAAGTCCTGGGGTCAAAATTGGCCCCGCTCCAGGGGGTCTTTGATTTTCCCTATATGCATAAAGTAAAAAATTAAAAAATCTTCTTTTAAAGAACCAAAAGAGCTAGAGCTAAGATATTTAGCATGAAACATCTTCTAATGAGTGTCTACCAAGTTTGTTCAAATAAAAGCCCTGGGGTCAAAATTGGCCCCACCCCAGGGGGTCAATGATTTTCCCTATATGCATATAGTAAAAACTTAAAAAATCTTCTTTTAAAGAACTCAAAGAGCAAGAGCTAAGATCTATAGCATGAAACATGTTCTAATGGGTGTCTACCAAGTTTGTTCAAATAAAAGCCCTGGGGTCAAAATTGGCCCTGCCCCGGGGGTCATTGATTTTCCTGATATGTGTATAGCAAAAACTTCAAAATCTTCTTTGAAAAAACCCAAATAGCTAGAGTTTAGATATTAAGCATGAAACATCTTCTAGTGAGTGTCTACCAAGTTTGTTCAAATAAAAGCCCTGGGGTCAAAATTGGCCCCGCCCCTGGGGGTCTTTGATTTTCCCTATATGCATATAGTGAAAACTTAAAAAATCTTCTTTTAAAGAACCCAAAGAGCTAGAGCTTAGATATTTAGCCTGAAACATCTTCTAATGAGTGTCTACCAAGTTTGTTCAAATAAAAGCCCTGGGGTCAAAATTGGCCCCGCCCCCTGGGGTCATTGATTTTCCCTATATGCATATAGTAAAAACTTAAAAAATCTTCTTTAAAGAACTCAAAGAGCTAGAGCTAAGATATTTAGCATGAAACATGTTCTAATGGGCGTCTACCATGTTTGTTCAAATAAAAGCCCTGGGGTCAAAATTGGCCCTGCCCCAGGGGGTCATTGATTTTCCTTATATGTATATAGCAAAAACTTATAAAATCTTATTTGAAAAAAACCCAAATAGCTGGAGTTTAGATATTAAGCATGAAACATCTTCTAGTGAGTGTCTACAAAGTTTGTTCAAATCAAAGCCCTGGAGTCAAAATTGGCCCCGCCCCGGGTGTTATTGATTTTCCTTATATGTGTATAGCAAAAACTTAAAAATCTCCTTTGAAAAAACCCAAATAGCTAGAGTTTAGATATTAAGCATGAAACATCTTGTAGTAAGTGTCTACAAAGTTTGTTCAAATAAAAGCCCTGGGGTCAAAACTGGCCCCGCCCCAGGGGTGTTATTGGTTTTAACTACAGTAGAACTTCGGTAAGTCGAAGTTGAAGGGACTTGCGTAAAAACTTCGACACATCGGGACTTCGACTCATGAATCGCACTCAATTCCATGACAAAATTTCGACCCGTGACTAGTTTATAACGAAACTTATTTCATGTTTTTTCCATCATTGATCTGATATTCACATTTTACAATGATATATATAGCATGTTAAATAACGTTTTTCACGGCTACCCGTTGACGTATACAAAAGAGTTACAAAAGGCGTAACAATACGAAAGGGCGATAACTTAACCAACTTATAGTATATATTTCGCGTGTTATTCTCACGCGACACCGGGTCAATGATGAAAGTAGTTCTTACTGTTCACTTTCAAATACCACTACGGCAATAAAAAATAGTAATGATTAAAGCATTTTATCACACATTTTATCGCAAACAAAGGCTGTTTGAACACACGGCTGTGTAATTAACACCCGAAACACAAGTTGATTGGAAATCGTCTTCGCAGCCAGATAAGGTGTGAAAAATGTCTCGAGATCGACGGTGTCTAAAAAAAATCGAACAACTTCGACTTATTTGTGGTAAATTGCACTAGATTTACTTAACACGGACCACGAACAATCTTCGACACATCGAAAAATTCGACACATATAAAATCTCGACTCATAAATAGGTTTTTATAAGGAATATATAGGGGGAAAAGTCGGGACTTTAATTTTTCTTGGACACATCGAGAAAATCGACTAATCGAAGTTCGACTCATAGAAGTTCTACTGTATATGTGTATAGTAAAAACTTAAAAAATCTTCTTTTAAAAAAACCCAATGAGCTAGAGCTTAGATGTTTAGCATGAAACATCTTCTTGTTTAGCATGAAACATCTTCTTATGGGTGTCTACCAAGTTTGTTCAAATAAAAGCCCTTGGGTTAAAATTAGCCCGGGCGGGGGGGGGGGAGAGGGGGGTAGATCGTTGTTTTTCATTATATGTGTGTAGTAAAAACTTAACATCGTGAAACATCTTCTAATGGGTGTCTTCCAAGTTTGTTCAAATAAAAGCCCTGGGGTTTAAACTGGCCCCGCTCCGGGTGCCTTTATACAGGTGAGCGACCTCAGGGCCATGATGGCCCTCTTGTTCTCTTAAGTGGCCACAAGTACAATAGAGAGAACAAAAGAGTAGCCACCTCAGTACCAAACTTTGAGCACATCTGGTTGGATGTCCGTCTGGCCGGTTGTCCGCACTACTGAATAGGGATAGGGGGCCATCTAACTGTAAACAGAACAAAAGAGTTCATTCCGTAACACTAGAGTAAGGGGCCATTGGCCCTCTATTAAATAATAGAAAATAACAAAAAGAAATGGCCCCTTATTCCATTTCGACCTGACGGCTGTCAAGTAAGCTTGTCCTGCCTTCACAGGTTGAAATACTGGTGGGATTTAACCAAACTTTACAGGAATGATCAGTACCATCATTAGTTGTGCACATCACCGTCATGTTCCACTTTACTTAAAAAAATGGCCGTCAGAGGTAAATAAAGTAAAATCTTGTCCAGCTTTCACAGGTCACACTTCTGGTGGGATTTCAAGTGATTGGTACCATCCCTAGTTGTGCACATTGCTGGCATGTTCCGCTTCATTGAACAAAATGGCCACCAGAGCTAAAAATAGAAAAGTCTTTTCTGGATTTCACTGGTCAAACTACTTTAGGGATTTCAACCAAACTTTAAATGAGTGATCAGTACCATCGGTAATTATGCACATTGTCGGCAAGTTCCCCTTTGCTGCACGAGCTATAAATAGAAAAATTTTGTCCGGTATCACAGGTCAAGCTACTTGTGGGATTTCAATGAAACTTCACATGAGTGATCATTACCATCCCTAGTTGTGCATATGGACGGCATGTTCTCCTTCATTGCACAAAATGGCTGCCAGAGGTAAAAATAGAAAAATTCTGTCCGGCTATCACAGGTCAAACTGCTGGTGGGATTTAGGAGTGATCAGAACCATACATAGTTTTTGGAGACACATGTTTTTGTGACAAAAAACATTCTAGTTTCTTTGTACAGTATCGTTGATAACTACTCTATGATGGGAGGACAGCATTATGATGATTTAACACATAAATTAAAAAAAGTTAAATGAGACAATATGATTTGACAATTATATATCTATATTAAAATATGTATGTTGTTTTCAGATATTCTAAATGTGACCGTTATATCAAAGATTTAGAGGAAGGTAAATTGACCAGCCAACCAGGTTGTAGTGAGGAGGAGACATTAGAGGTATGATACCTATGATTCTCTTGCTTCCTTTTTCATCCATAGGATCCTTTATGGTCATATGATTATAGCATTTTCATTTCACAACTGTTGGTCGCAATTGGGAATTTTTTAGGGAAGCTATTTCACTGACTTACAGAAAGTTATTTCTTCTACTTGTGTCCCCTAAAATAATGATGGACAGGCAACTTCCTTAACTAAGCTGAAAAGGTGAAATTACCCTTGCAAAAATTACTGAAATTTACCAGGTATTTACTGGGAAATCCTAGGAATATTTACTGGGATAATTCCTAGGAAATCCGAGGAATTCCTAGTTACTGGCTGGCAGTAATTGAAAAAACTGGTAATAACTAGAAAAAAAAGTGAAACCAGGAATGCGTAAGATCAACTTGTACTAGAAAATCCTTATTACTGAGAACACCCTGCCCATGGTATTTGGAACATTTTTGGCTGGGTTGCACAGGTGCAAACCTTGGTTATAGTATGGTGAATGATGGTTGGAGAGCGGGTGGGTGGGGAAAAATTTTCGTAACAGTTTTCTCAGCAACTACTTTTCACAGCCTCTTGATATTTGGCATACAGCCTTGACGCAAAATTGGTCCCATACTCTGGGATTTGATTTCAGGTCTGTCGCTCATCCAGTTCCTGTTTACAGACCTCGTTAAATTTTCTACATTAATGGTCAATGGTAGGAAATTTTTGTAACAGTTTTCCTAGCAACTACTTATTACTGCCTCTTGATTTTTTGCATACAGAATTTACACATGGTCCCGTACCGTGGGATTCGATTTCAGGTCTGTCTCTCATCCACTTCCTGTTTACCAACTTAAATAAAGAGCAACTACTTATCATAGGCTCTTGATATTTGGTATACAGCATTAACACGGGGTCCCTTATCTTGGGATTCGACTTTAGGTCTTTTGCTCATCCACTTCCTGTTCACCGACTGAGTTTTGTACATTAATGCTCAGTGGTAAAATTTTTTCGTTACATCACAGCCTCATGATATTTTGTATACAAATGCAACACGACCTTTTCTGTCTTTGACCCATTTTTCCTGGTCATTCCTTGGCATTTCAACAGTAGTTTCTGCTATTTCTATGATCTTAGGAATGGCTTGAATTGCCTAGGATTGCATTGTACTGGAAATTCCTAGTTACTAGGAATGACTGGACCACAGCCAAGCTAAATTACTGTTACAAAGGCCACCAAAGGATCATTCCTATTAAAATCAATCAGTTTTGTAGGAGATATTAATAAAAGAAACATTATCTCACATAAGCACATTTTACTCATATAAACTAAAAATGTGCATTTTTATGCTCCCCGAAAAAATTTTCTGGGGAGCATATAGTCCGTCAGTCAGTCCCTCCGTTGGTAGGTCCCAAATTCCTGTACGCCCCATAACTTTGTTATTTGAAGTCAGATTTTACAACTATTTCACAGAAATGATCACCATATTGAGACGATGTGTCGCGCGCAACATTTGGGTCGCTACCTTGAAGGTCAAGGTCACAGCATGACCTTGCAGCAAAATCATGTCCGGCCCATAACTTTGTATTTTGAAGTGTGATTTTACAACTATTTCACAAAAATGAACACCATATTGAGACGATGTGTCCCGTGCAACATTGAGGTCGCTGCCTTGAATGTCAAGGTCATAGCATGACTTTGCAGCAAAATCGTGTCCGGCTTATAACTTTGTTATTTGAAGTCGGATTTTACAACTATTTTACAGAAATGATCACCATATTGAGAAGACATGTCGCGCGCAACATTTGGGTCGCTGCCTTTAAGGTCAAGGTCACAGCATGACCTTGCAGCAAAATCGTGTCCGGCCCATAACTTTGTTATTTGAAGTTGGATTTTACAACTATTTCACAGAAATGATCACCATATTGAGACGACATGTTACGCGTAGCATTTGGGTCGCTACCTTGAAGGTCAAGGTCACAGCATGACCTTGCAGCAAAATTGTGTCCGGCCCATGACTTCGTTATTTGAAGTGGGATTTTACAACTATTTCACAGAAATGATCACCATATTGAGCACAGCATTTGGGTTGTTTTTACACTTTGAACTTAGTCTGTGACATAACTCTGACACTACAAGAGGTATACCTTCCTGTGTCCAAAACGTAATCCGGGAGTATCACCCGATTCAACCGGCTCTTGTTAAATTCAGTTAAATGACAAGTAGTTTAACATCAAGCATAAGCCAACTGTTAAATTTAATAAAAAGCATGTTTACATATGAAACAAAGTGTTTTCCTTACAGTTTTTTTTTGGACACACCTGTTTATTTATTACATTCTAGTTACTGGAATGCAATGAGCTTGAAAAATGACATTGGCTGCAGAAGTAAAATTTGACTAACAAGTTATTGCCAATATTAAAAATTTAAACAATTTCACAGACTGATTTACAAAAATGTTTGGAGAACAGAAATAGGCAATCAAGAGAAACACCACATGCCTATATAGAAAAGAACCACCAGTGACAATGTACAGTTGTAACCTTGTTCATGTACTTCAATTTCTTTGCACCTTTATTCATTTTAGCATATTTTGTGATTGATAAGCTAATTACACCAACAAACTGACAAGTTAGAGGTAGTGATCAACCTATAAATATTTCAACTGTAATAGTAAACACACTATAGATGTCTTTAAAGTCCAGTTAACTAAATATTTTGCGTTTAATTACCATAACATAAGGTACACAAAACCACATTATTCATATATTAAGTTCACAGAAACTATTCCATTAACACGAAAGATAATTGACCTGCTCTGTAAACTATAAATTTCTATAACACTTTCAAAACCACAACCAATTTTATAATACAAAATAAGTTCATTGAACCGCTTATATCCAATGAAACCACTTGGAGGCTCTAAACTCTAGTATTTGCCTGTTACAAACAGTCTGTTTAAATATAGCATAGAAAAACCAAAAAGGCAACCCAACTTAGATTTTACAGCAAACGTCATCAGTTACTAGTTAGTGCAGATGGCATGGTAAATGTCATTAGTTTCTGCAGCGGGCACTTACCAAAGGCATGCGCAGAAGATATCAATTATTTAAACTTCCAAATTGAGCAATCACTCCCAGCAAACACAAGTCGTCATACTGACGTCAGATTTAAGTCCGGTTCTGACGTCGGATGACGGTCGGAAAAACGGTTGGATTTGAAAGTTTTTTTGACGTAATAATCTGACGTCAGGTAGACGTCAGAATCTAACCATTATTTAACCTTTTTCTGACCAAAATCTGACCATTATCTAACCATTTTCCGACTTCAATCTGACCATTTTCCGACCTCAATCTGACCATTTTCCTACCTAAACCTAACCAGTTTCTAACCATTTTCCGACCTCAATCTGACCATTTTCCGACCTAAATATTAACCCTTTTCTGCCCTAAATCTGATCATTTTCTGACCTTCATCTGATCATTCCCCTAATCTTTTTTGTTTCACCACGTCATAAATATTTTCTGGCTAATCATGATTTGATCGAATTTAATGTAACTCATTCTATTAAGTAATTTTCCCTCCAATGAAATGTATAACAGAAAACTAAAAGCAAAATTATGTTTTATGCTTTTTTAATTTAAAATAAAAGTTGCAATTTTAAGCTGATACATACAATTTTAGTAAATTCTGCAATGTTAAATAATTTTCATAAATTAAACAAAATAAAACATTAAATAAGTTAATTACAAAAAAAAAAAGTATTACAAAAACAATGACATAAATGAAACTAAGAAAACATGTACCAAATATTAAGAACAAAACAATGTATTCACATTTCTATCAAGTTTTGCCTTATCAAATAAAATAATGAAAATATTATAATTTTTAAGAAAAGTTAAAAGATTCTGATAATAATGTTTTCAAGCAATTAATGACAGATTTTCAGTATTTTAACTATATTTCTACAGCATTCTAAAACATTTAGTGCCATTTTGCATATTTTGACCTCCTTTGATAATTGTCAGTGATGTATAAATTGCTGCCTTTTAGTTACTTCACAAAGTTATACTTTTAGATATCCATGAGAATTAGCACAAATTTTGAGGTGTGATGCTTTAAGATATGCCCTTCTTTCAGCACCCCTCATCTGTCCGGAGGATATGTAGCGTTTGTAGCGTCCAATAGCGTGTGTGACATCATTTTCACTGGAAAAAAAAATTATGAAACATGGAAAAATAACAAGCAAAAATGTTTTCATGGTTATCTTAACTTAATGAACAATTTTGCCAACTTTTTATAAGAGAGCTTTAACAAAAATTAAAAGTAAACATAAATACTGAACATTTTAAAAAGCCGCTTTTAAAACTCCAGTTTAGTATGGATTAAAGTATGTAATAGAATTTACAAAAATCTTACTTTCCTATGTTTCTTTTTACATATTCACGTGTTTCCGTCCCTCCGACCTTTGAGAGCATGTCCAACACATTAACTACCTGAAAAGAAAATTATATTCTAACTTATGTATATATTCTACGTTTGAAATAGAACAGTTACGCAAGTCTTAAATATTTCATAGTTTTTAAATTAAAGATTTAATGACGAAATGTCTGGAACCAAAACGTCTTGGGTTATTTGGGGACCGGAACGTTTGGGTTATTTGGGACCGAAACGTCTTGGTCCGAAATGCTCGAAATCATACAAATTCATTCTCAATTCTCAGATTTTTAACTGACAAAAACATCACAGTTTAAGAAAAATATGAAAACTAAGCATTCTCTTTGGTAGTACTGAAAGGCATATTATAAACTCTTCACAAGCAGAGTTAAAACATGTCAATTTTAAAAAGATTTATTATTAGACATTATCGCCGAATTTGTGTGACATTTTACTTCAGCTGTTCAAATAATGATAATTAAATTTAAGAGTGCTTGCAATCATGCAATTATTTATCAAATACAAAAGTAAAAATAAAATCTAAATAAATTGAACTGACCTTTTTGTTCCAAGAAAATCTGTAATATTCACTT